TATATCTTATTCTAGTTTTTGGACATTCCATCTATTCATTCTACTTGAGTCATATGTTGACCTTGTCAATTATTCCCTTATCAGTCTTCACTGTTTTTATATGAGTGTATACGTGTGTGCACATCATATCCCATGACTCATTGCATGTCTGTAACTTTATTTTGTCTGACTATAAATATTGAGTCACGCTTGACTAAAATGGAGTTGGCTTCCCAGCCATCTTCCCGGTGTGTCATTTTGCCTTACTCTGTCTCATTCGCTTCATATGCAAAATATATGTATGCACAGATCAATTCTCGTTATTCGACTTATTTAATTCCGTTATTGGCTAACGCGATTAAGTTGACGATTGTATACGAGAATAGGCGATAACAATCATTCGTACGATCTTGTAATCAGATCCACGTGCCATCAAACTCCCGATCACACGGGACCAAGTTCGTAACTATGAAGTGACATAGTAATTACCAATTTCTGAACCTACAACTCGTATACACCTGAAAGTATAGGCTCTCAAAAATATACCTAGCATATCAGTAAACCATTTAAATGGCCGAAAACTCCTCAGGTGAGTTGAAACCTAACACAACAACTGGAACGAAATATAACGTAATTCTAGGTATGTCTCCAGGAAAAATATTAACTGCTCTCCAGATGGACTGATTCAAGATCGACACAAAAACATTCTAAAAAGATAACTAAAAGCCTAGGGACTTCTGTTCTCAAAGAACAAACTTAAAGATCGATTGGACATACTTTTATATTGCACACTTTTCAAAATATACGGAACATGGGCAAAAGCAATCATGATGGGAAGCCGAAGCTTCAAAAAACTAATAAGAAGTGGGTACGTCTTGCGACAGTGTTTGTGTATGTCGTTTCCGTTTCCCTCGCTGCAATAGTACTTGCTATATACTACAGCATGATATGGAAACCACGAATAAATGGTCCTATCACTTCAGTTTCGAAAATACAGAATGATACATGAGGAAGTTATGACGCTGTTTACACTTTATGGCTAGTCTATAATATTCAGCATTTATGGTCGTACGTCGGCCTAAGTGGCATTTACCAATCCTCACTCGACTGAAAATTGTCTTTTAATATGTCATTTTTTCTAAGTCTTTTGTCTTAAGAATATTTCACCATTTTTTCATTATACCAAATATATCCTTATCGCTTTTCTGTCTCTAAATTTTATAGTATACAAGAAAACCTGGTACCTATTTCTGTCCGCAAATTACCGTATTAGAATTGGCGGTCGAAATCAAGCCAGATATATTTTAGATATATCATTGATATAAATCCTCATTCGAAAAGTCAGATTCGAATGTAATGAAACGCACGTACCCTTCTTTGTCAACTGGAGCTGAATGGACTTCGCAAGGTATAAATAGTGTATAGGTTTCGCAACTTCTCCCATTCATTTCATACTATAAGGACGAATGTAAGACTGTTCTGGCAATCTTCCGGTTCTTAAACTAGGAGCACGAAAATTCTCGGCTTATACTTTAACATTCCAAATGTTGTTTAGTAACACTTCCCTTTTGAGCATATCAGAAATTGATATCTCTAGGTTCATGAATTGATGTTCTTAACCTGTGAATTCCAAAAAGCACCTCTGGTGGATAACCTGTAGTCTCCTTTGAATCGGTAGATGTAATAGTCGTAACTATATCGGCTAAAAACCTAGCAATTTCAGTAAAAAGTTGATAGGCAAAGTTTAATCCAACATTTTTGGATAGTGCATGAACTAGTTGGATCCAATCTGTACAGTTGCCCAAACGCTTCGAAAAGTAGTCCAGTTCTCTCGGATTCGTTTTCCTCCCTAGAAAATTATGCTTCATCACCAAGAGTGACCATAGGATGTGAGGTAGTTGAATATGTACTTGTCTTTCAAGTCCCATCAGTATATGCATTGAGAGAGTTCGATTGACGCTTGCCAACTTGCACCACCTGTAGCTTATGCGAGATATCCGTTTACCGATCAAAGGACGAGTATACTGTGCACTACGCTCTGTATTATTCCCTGACTATGAAACTTGGTTTATAAGTGCAGATGTATATGTTGCAGGTTTTATATCATAGTTCATTTTGGAGCATTCCTCGTGTCTTGAAATGACTGAATGAGGTTATTTAGCTTCGGTAAATATCTAACCTGACCTGGTACGTATTTAGGTACTAGTTTATGCCATAATAATTGTGAGTTCTATGTATACCTTCAGGAATCACGATCATGGTAGTGTATCTGATTACGACTCAATTATCGAAATCTGCGTGCTGAATTCACTAAACCACATCTCAGCTGGGATTAAGGAAACAAGTACTTGAAAATACATAGGAAGCACTTGATCCCGCTTGGTACTGTTGGGTCAGTAATCAAAATGTTGTTTAAAAAAATCATATCTAAACAAACATATGAATAAAGAACACTTTTCGACAAATTCTCCTAAGAATCTATAGCTTAACATTTAAACTAATAATGATCAGGCATAAGATAGATACATTATTTACAATGATAGCATATGAATTTAGAATTGTTTGCATCCATTGCAGTAGAGAAGAAACCTCATACGAACAATTATTTGTAGAATAAGGGCAATATGCTTTACTGATACAGTTGGAGATTTAAATTGCGTAATGCTCTTAGGAAAAACGAATACCCTAAAGAAGTTTACGGACAAATATACTCCCATGAAATTAAGAATATAAGTAAAAACTAAAAAAAACCGCTCATTACGCGCTTGCCATCCAGTAAAATTCTGATCCAAAGACTACGAAGAACATTTTAAGGGATAATGTTCAAATATTGCAACTAATGCTTCCGATATTGACGTCCCGGCTGTAGCTGCTATCTTGGCTTGGTAGTTGGACTTGTGTATCTTAATCCATCAAGCTTTATTGGCCGGAATAATTTTAGCTTTGTTTCTCACCATGCTAGTTACCTACTTTTCCCAAATGACTTAAATGGTGGGTCAACATAGAAAAGTAAGAAAGCCAATATACTAGGGAGAGCAGGTCCTGGTGGGTTATCTCTGATCTTTTAGGATGGTGGTCCAGTTTCGGCTGTTGGATTAACTGATATCTTAGCTAGAATCCGGGAACTGATCGTAACCTCATCTGACTAGTCATATTACTGACCGTCCCAGTCCTGTGGAAACCAGAGAAGTCAATTTGACGGACACTCTAAAATCTTAACCGCAATGGGTAGCCAACGCCTAGCCCGGGCTCGTGAAGGGCAAACTCAGGGAAATGAAGCTGGTTCCGCACTTGAATGTACAGACTGCATATATGCACTTCATCAGGTTTGGCAGCATAGACATACCTACGGACTCCGGACCTTAGCGCAACATCTGCTTCTATATGTCGATAAGTCATGGCGATTTCATCGGTAGATATGCTAAATAAGTACATTAACCTTTTACAGGCTTCCTATTCAAACTAGTCGAGTTAGAGCTTGCGGTGAACTGTCGTTGCAGTTATCGGCTTTGTCGTAAACATTCTTGGCACAACACTCGTCTGAATCGATTTAACGATTCTCTTGTCAACTTAGATTACCCAGATGACATAGTTCTGATTGATGAAGACGCCGAAAAAATTCAAACATATTCGAGACTAACCTGCATTAGGACTTGAGTAAGTAGGTGCAAACTATGTAGCCGGGGTCCGCACGACTAATGGTGAGGGACTCAACGATCTGGTTCAAAATCGCTCACAATAACACTGATGTATTTAATCCTTGTCTTTCCTTAAGTTCTAATTTTCTAAATTCCTCATGAGTTTTTCCCTATTGTTTCACTAGTTCACGTTTTCTTTGGTGCCTAATCTTGTTTTACGACCATTAATTTTCCTTGGAAATCTCATCTCACTTTGCTAATGGACTGTAGAAGATTGAGCCGAGTAGCCAGACTGGACACCTTGTTTTAAATTTAAAAGTTCAGTCGCTCCTTTAGAGCAAGTCCTGTCAGCCGAATTTTTAGGAGTTAATATTTGTGTCCATGAACATCTTTCAGAAGACGTAGTCGAGACAGTAAGCACCCCGACTAGTTCTAACTGGTCATAGTAGCGACATAAACTAATTGTTTACGAGAGCAGTAAATTTCCTTCAGTCTGTCAGACTCAACGGCAGGAGCAGTTGCTATTTAGATCAAAATACCTGTGCTATATATAGAAAAGTAATGTTTACAACCCTTTCTCTCTTACCTCGAGTAGCCGCATGCCCAATAATTCAGTACTCATCTTAATTATGGGATGGCCTAATTAGATTAATATACATAAAGCCCTCGTCTTTTTGTATCTTCATATTATTATTGTCAGTATTATTAGTCTTCCAAACACATGAATAATTTAGTTAGCAACCACCTGATTATTTCTTATAACTGCATACACTACGTAGTCCTATGTAATATATTTATTCTCATTATTAATCTCATAGTTTCATATAACGTGTAAACCTATTAAATTTGGCATTGTGTACTAGTTATCTCAACATCAACAATTCCATTCTATCTTACAAACAGTCCTAAGTCAAAATACCTATCCACCTTATTGATTTCATAATTTGAGCACTCATGTTGTGTATTATAAGCTAAAACGTTAAGTGGATGCATGCGGATAAGTTGCGACAACTGAGTTACCAGTAGTACTAGTCGGGTAACATTATGTACGAAGGAATCCTGGAGACTTACGACAACGAGAAATAGTAGTCATCAACTCGACTAGAACCTGCTGTGCAGTGAAAATGTCTTGTTTAAGCCTTAAAGATAGAAATATGTGGATATATTAAAGAATTTGAAGAATTCTTGATACTAAAACTAACTAACTCCTGTTTCTGATTTTTAGAAAGCATTCTATACCTTAAAATATGTTTGTTCTGAAATGAATAGATTATTTGTAAACATTACAACATCCAACTCGTAATTATTGCCAAGCAATCCACGTCAAAACACCACATATTGCTAAATAATTGTAGAAAATGTGATTGAGTTGCTACAACTCATCGCGCTGAGAATGCAAAAAATATTCACTTTTGTATCACGTCAATAAAACCAGCAGGAAACAAAAATAGATGTTTGAATCCCTGGTATTTTTGGATGTTATGAAGAATCTATTCTTTCAGTCCCGTTTTCTAAAACTCAAGTAATATCTCAAATTAAATAAGCGAACTTTGTGCGTTGATTTGACTACCTCAAGTTTGTGGTGATGTCGTTGAAAAGAACGATGAAAGCTCCACGACTAAACTATGCAGCTCAGAGAAAAAAAACTCCAAAATTATCCACCTGAGCTACAAGTCTCCACCATCTCAGTATCTAAAAACATCATTATAAAAATAATAGATGTTTCTCAATTCCATTGGTTGGTTTTAGTCTTTCATCTGAAATGCTTGGAAAAGTTAAAATGGCTTTATACAACATCTCTAAGACATAACATAATCCCAATCAAAATGGAAATCTACTTCAATCTGATTACTTAGTAGTTCTATCTCATGAGAAGCGAAATAATGTGCAGAAGCATGTGAAAGACTGAACTGTGAACAAACCCGGTAGGCATTTGACAGTAATGTTAGTGAACAATGAAAAAAGACTATCCAAGTGAATATTTTAGGAACATAACAAACAAAGATCTGATTCGAACAAAACATGACTACCGGCGTTTCAGTAAGTCAAATATAAACAGTCAACTGGAACTTTATACAGCCAATATATTTCTGTGATATAAAATATTTTTGATGGAAAAGATATTTTACACAAAATGGTACTTAAAAATGTTAGAGTACATGATCGATAACTCCGCCTGGTGTCACTCCGGGGGCTACTGCAAGGTTGGGCATGGAGTTAGCGTCCCCCATTAACTCGCTAAAAAAACGCTAACCAGAAAGAAATATTTAAACTATGCCCCGAGAGTCAGATCTTCATTTAGAAGGACTACGACGCCTCATGAAGAAAGCCGAGTTCCTTCGGAAGTTACGAGGCCGATGCCCCTTCTGACAACCAGAGCAACCATTTATTTAGGTACATGGAATGTTCGCACAATGTGGAACACCGAGAGAGCCTTCCAAATTGCTGCAGAAATGAGAAGATACAACCTAGAGGTGCTTGGGATCAGTGAAACACATTGGACGCAAGTTGGACAACAACGACTAACTTCAGGAGAGCTTCTGTTACACTCCGACCATGAAGAAGTAAATGCCCCACATACACAAGGAGTTGCATTGATGCTGTCCAAACAAGCACAAAATGCACTTATAGGATGGGAATCTCATGGACCAAGGATCATCGAAGCCTCCTTCAAAACAAAGAAAGAGGGCATTACAATGAACGTCATCCAATGCTATGCGCCTACCAACGACTACAATGAAGACGCTAAAGATCAATTCTACAATAGGCTGCAGTCAATCATCGAGAAGTGACCAACAAAGGACCTGACCATTCTGATGGGAGATTTCAATGCCAAGGTTGCAACGGAAAACACTGAATATGAAGACATCATGGGACGACACAGACTGGGAGAAAGGAACGAAAATAGTGAGAGATTTGCAAACTTATGTGCCTTCAATAAACTGGTCATAGGCGGCACTATATTCACAAAATCACATGAACTTCACCGGATCACACTACACCAAAACAAATCGACCGTATCTGCATCAATGAAAAGTTCAGGAGGACGATGGAAGATGTGAGAACCAAGAGAGGAGCTGATATAGCATCAGATCATCACTTGCTGGTCTCCAAGATGAAATTGAAACTCAAGAAGCACTGGACACTGGGGCGGACAATATCACAAATGTTCAATGCGGCCTTTCTTCAGGATACTAACGAATTCAAGATGGTCCTTAGCAATAAGTTCCAGGCCTTTCATGATCTACTTAATGAAGGAACTACTATGAATAGCAACTGGAAAGGGATCAAAGAGGCAATCACTTCAACATGTCATGAGGTCCTGGGTCACAAGAAGCACCATCACAAGGAATGGATCATTGTTGATACACTGGATAAGATTCAAGAAAGGAGGAACAAGAAAGCAGCAATCAATACCAGCCGAACAAGAGCAGAGGAAGCCAAGGCACAAGCTGAATACACAGAAGTAAACAAGCAAGTGAAGAGGAGCATCAGAACCGACAAGCGTAAATATGTGGATGGTTTAGCAACAACGGCGGAAAAGGCTGCAAGAGAAGGAAACATGAGAAAACTGTATAACACGACAAAGAAACTGACTGGTAATCGCCGCAAATTAGAACGATCAGTGAAAAGCAAGGAAGGCGAGGTAATCACCAACTTTGAAGGGTAACGAAACAGGTGGATAGAACACTTCAAAGAACTATTGAATCGACCAGCCCATTGAACGCACTCAACATCGAAGCAGCACCCACGGACCTCCCAATCAATGTTGGCCCACCAACAATTGAAGAAATCAGTATGGCCATCAGACAAGTCAAGAGTGGCAAAGCAGCAGAACCAGACAACATTCCAGTAGAGGCACTAAAGGCAGACGTAGCGGTAACTGCAAGGATACCCCACATTCTCTTCAATAAGATTTGGGATGAGGAACAAGTACCAACAGACTGGAAAGGACTTCTGATCAAAATACCAAAGAAATGCAACTGTGATAACTACAGGGGCATCACTCTTCCCTCAACACCGGGAAAAGTCTTCAACAGGGTATTGTTAAACAGGATGAAGGTCTCAATATACACAAAGGGAAGAGCAAGGTTCTGCGATACAACACAGCATGCACCGATCCAATCACAATTGACGGAGAAGATTTGGAAGATGTAAAAACCTTTACATATCTGGGCAGTATCATTGATGAACATGGTGGATCTGATGCAGATGTGAAGGCGCGGATCGGCAAAGCAAGAGCAGCATATTTACAACTGAGGAACATATGGAACTCAAAGCAACTGTCAACTAACACCAAGATCAGGATTTTCAATACAAATGTCAAGACAGTTCTACTATATGGGGCAGAAACCTGGAGAACTACGAAAGCCATCATCCAGAAGATACAGGTGTTTATTAACAGTTGTCTACGCAAGATATTTCAGATCCGTTGGCCGGACACTATTAGCAACAACGTACTGTGGGAGAGAACAAACCAGATCCCAGTAAAGGAAGAAGCGCTGGAAGTGGATAGGACACACATTGAGGAAAGCACCCACCTGCGTCACAATGCAAGCCCTCACATGGAATCTTCAAAGCCAAAGGAGGAGAGGAAGACCAAAGAACACATTACGTCGGGAAATGGAAATAGACATGAGAAAAATGAACAAGAATTGGATGGAACTAGAAGAGGAGGCCCAGGACAGAGTGGGTTAGAGAATGCTGGTCGGCGGCCTATGCTCCATTAGGAGTAACAGGCGTAAGTAAGTTCATGATCGATGAAATCATCCTTTCAGTCACCTTTTGAGTGGTTCCGTAACTCGTGTTGACAGACCATAGATGAGAGTACTCAACTATCGGTTGCAGTTATATTCCTCTATTTTTCTCTAGATTCCGAACTTATTATTATTACTCCATTAACTCGCTTCCTCAGCTGTCCTATTAAATACAATCGTTCGGACAGATACATACTTGTACCAAATCCATAGGTATTTACGACTGTTCAACATTAATCTACTGAAAGTAATCTGATCACATACAATAGATTTTGAAGTCATTTCAGTAAATTAATCTTGAAGAGTGAAGAAACAATATCGTGGCAACAACTGACAATATAATCATGATTTAAAAGCTATTAGCTAATGAACATATATGAATTATCATACAGAATCTACAAGATATTTATAGGCAAATAATTCACTATACTGTAAAAACTAAATGATTCTTCATACTACTACTGTTATAACAAAAATAATGTTAACAGCATAGTTATTAGTGCATTCAGAATAAATAAGTATTTTATCTAAACAATTCAAACATAAGAATAATGATACAAATAGATGTATATACTTAAAGTTGTTCAAATTAAGTGAGATTAAAAAAATAAGCTACCTGATTATAAAAATAAAAATTCAATCAATCAATTCGCAAAATTTATGAACATGACCTTAATTTTTCATGACAGCTACAGGAATGCGCGTTATTAAAAGCAGATAATCGATTTATTTAAAAAAGTATCGTATATAATTAGCAAAAACTACACTAAAAATGAATGTAAACATTTTGTGTTGTTAAGAGTAATAATCGAAATTTGTGTAAGTATTCTAGTGAGCTCTACCAGGTGTCTATTATGTCTTAATTTTAGAATTATATTTTCTAGAAACAAAATACACACGGATTACTTGATAATAAAATTTAGGAATAACCTGGCAGTATACATAAATAAGAAAAATACGCCCAATTTCAATTTAATGTCTTTTGATGGTTTATAACGTTCACCAGATTGTAGTTTGGAAAGAAAATAGGTCCACCTTTATTTGCTCTAATACGATCGGCGAGAATGTTAATAAATTACAAGTGATCAATATTTCACCATGAAATTTTCGATTACAACAGAAGACAGAACACTTAATGTCTAGTGACAAACAAACTAGTTTGTCGATAGATCAATTCAATATAACTGTTTGATATTGTGTGTGGATTAAAGGTTTGTAATGAATAAATGTTGATAATATTCCCAAATAAAACAGGATATCATGAAAACATACTTGGCCGAAGTTACTTATAAAATCTTTTCCATGTTTTAATTATAATAAATATCAGACAATTGAGTAAGTGCAGAGGTTTGATACGATAGGACTGGGATTCACTAATTACATAGTTTAATGTTCAGTAAATGATTGAAATTGTAAATCTTACTCCACGTACTCTAGTTTAGACTACTGGGTAAGATCATGATCATGCATATAATTGAGTATAATTTATTTACTGTTTATAATAAACCAGTTGTATGGAAAGGAACACAATTTTATTCAAAACACATCACAGCAATCATAGATCAAACAAGTAAAAAATTTCTAAAGTGTAGGATATATTTAGCACTATCCAGTGTCTGCAACAATACACTAATCACACAAATAAACATAACATTAGTATGACTAATGGATTATTGATTACGGCGCTTGAACTTTAACCAGTAAGTCGCAAGTTCGGATCCCGCCTCGCTAGCTTTCATGGTATTAATTAGACCCGGTTACATGAAACGGCAAATGAGCTATATCAAATTAATAATCACCTGGTAAGACAAGTTTTATTAATCACAAAAATGACTGAGACAGGTACTAACGAAATAATTAAAGTACAGATGATGATTTTTGGGTACTACAGTGAGAGTGGTATCCTAAGCTGTACCATGATGCCTAATATCACGA